ATATTACACTGAGACAGCGCTGTGATCAGTATAGAGTCTAAAAAAGCAGAAGGAAAAGTAAGAGGTTTTTGTCACAGTGTAAATCACTGTGATACATCCTCTTTAGCAGAGTCATCCCATGTCTCGCAGTAATAGACTGCAGAGTCTCCCTCCTCCACATTCTTGATGATCAAACGATAATCTGTTGTTGACTGATGAGTGGATGTGAATTTTGGAGAGGAGAACCCAGAGCCATAGTATGGAGAACTATCGCTATGATAAAAAGACACCACAAACTGAGGAACTCCTCCTGGAATCTGTTTATACCAACAAGCAGCTTCATCAGTAACAGTCCCCAGGTTACAGTCCATGGTGGCTGTCTCTCCTTTCCTCACTGATAGAACAGGAGGTTTCTGTGTCACCACTGTCACACCACTCACACCTGCAAACAACAAGAAGACATGCAGTCAAGATAAACACCCATACAGATGAATATAACATGAGGTCTAAGCTATACTGTAACTCAGCCTCTTTACATGTTAGAGCAGTGATGAGAGCACAGAGAGTCACCAGCATGTTGTTCATTTGAGCAAAGAATTGAGAAGTAAAAGATTTGGAAGAACTATTTAACATAACTAATGGGAGGAGGAGCTGTTGGTTTTCGTTTGTTTGTATTTCATTGGTTACTTTCCTTTCTTTTCAATCATCCATCATTTTTTATCATTTATATATATATATTTAACTACTACTACTAATAATAATAATAATAATACATTATTATTATTATTATTATTATTATTATTATTATTATTATTATTATTGCTACTACTACTTCTATTATTATTAATATTTTAAACAAAAAGTGAGTAGTTTTCTGCTACCATTCTATGATTCTAGGACTGACCAAATTATATTACCAAAATATTATAGGTGTGGACTGTTACATTCATTTCTGTATTTCTGTGTTTTGTTCCACACTGTGTGTTTGGGAATGCAATATGTTCAGATTTCACAAAAGCTGTGGTGTCACTTAGTTTGTTTGTTAGTTTTTTTTGTCACAGTATTCACCACTGTGTTATGTCCTCCCCAATAAAGTCTCTCCATGTTTCACAGTAGCACTTTGCAGAGTCTCCTGCTTTTAACTGTTAATTATGTTAAATATCAACACTTCACTGGGTTCCTTTGATTCCTCATAGGCATTCCGATGGAAGACAACACACTGCTCAGTAAACCATTTTACACTTTATTCTCTTACACAATACTTCTAGAGGGGAGATGCATCCTGAATGACACGTTGCCGCAAATCTCAAAATGGTGACCCGCGCTTAACAGTTTTTATTCCAAGCTGGCCCATTCTAGTCTAAACAACAGCATTTCAGCAACTTTCCACTAAAACACAGTTCCCCGTTATCTACTCTCTGCAGGCAAACGTGGGCGGATGTCTACTACATTTCTATCCTCTAAGGACACATAGGCTAATGCCTTTATTTTTCAAGGCTGTGTCCACTTAATATTACCCTATATGATTTTATGGCATTTTGGTTAATATTAGATTAATATAAGGCTCAGCATTAAAACACTTCAGGTAACTTCATTCGAACAATTAGCATCTGATTGTCCCCATTGAAATACTGTGTACATACTGAAGAGCTCTATCTGAGATTCTTCTTTAATCTCTTAATTCTGCAGCTAGGAAAAAAACACTATTTGTAGGTGGTGGGATTACAGTGAGTTTGTTTTTTGTGTCTTTTATAAAAAGAGCATCAAAAAGCAGAAGTATCTCTGTGGAGGTTTTTGTCACAGTGTAATTCACTGTGATACGAACTCATCAACAGAGTTGTCATATGTCTTACAGTAATAGACTGCAGAGTCTCCCTCCTCCACATTCTTGATGATCAAACTATAATCTGTTGTTGACTGATGAGTGGATGTGAATTTTGGAGCAGAGAACCCAGAGCCATAGTCTGGAGAACTATCGCTATGATGAAAATTCAGCACATACTGAGGAACTCCTCCAGGAATCTGTTTGTACCAAGAGACATAGTTATCAACAGTCCCCAGGTTACAGTCCATGGTGGCTGTCTCTCCTTTCCTCACTGATAAAACGGGAGGTTTCTGTGTCAGCACCGTCACACCACTCACACCTGCAAACAACAAGAAGACATAAAGTCAAGAGTAACACACTGACAAATGAATATAAAATGGGGTTTAAGCTATACTGTAAGTAAGACTCTTTACATGTTAGACAAGTGATGATTGCACAGAGAGTCACCAGCATGTTTTCAGTGTGGGCTAAGTATTCAGTGGAGAGATGG